GCGGGGACACCAAGGGACATGGTGGGGACATCATGGGACAGCATGGGGACACTTGGAGACAGCGTGGGGACATCATGGGACCCCTGGGGACATCGTGGGGACATTGCAGGGACACCAAGGGGCATCGGGGAAGCCTGGGGACATCGTGGGGACATTGTTGGGACTCCAAGGAGACATCGGGGGACACCAAGGGACACCACGGGGACACCAAGGAATACTGGGGGACGACAACGGGACACCTGGGGACATTGTGGGGACATTGCGGGGACACCAAGGGACATGGTGGGGACATCAGGGGACATCACGGGGACACCAAGGGACATCAGGGGACAGCCACGGGACACCTGGGACATCATGGGGATATTGTGGGGACCCCAAGGGGACATTATGGGGACATCATGGGGACATCGTAATCATGGGGACATCTGGGGACACTGTGGGACATTGCAGGGACCCTGGGGATACTGGGAGGGTGACAGTCCTGGGGACACCACTGGATGTGATGTGGACACCCCTTGGGGACAATGGGGGGACATTTGGGGGCGGGGCCACCCCTGGGGACACCCCCAGGGTGGGGGCCATTGGGGGAGGGGACACGGGGGGGCTGGGCGGTGTCACCGGGGGCGTCCCGGTCACCGCTGTCCCTTGTCCCCAGGGCGGGTGGCCCCGGCCCGGCCGCGGTGGCAGCCGGCGGGTGACAGGTGAGTGGAGGGGACAAAGGGACCCGGGGGAGGTGACAAAGGGGACCCTGGGGGGGGTTGGGTGACCCCAAGGGTGACACACGGACATGAGGTGACAACAGGAACGGGGGGGAGGGGACAAAGGGACCTGGGAGGGTGACAAGGGGGACCCTGGGGAGGGCAGGGGACCCCAAGGGTGACGAAGGGACCCTGGAGGTGACAAAGGGACCTGGGGGGTGACAGGAGGGGTGGTGGCAGGTGACACCAGGGGTGTCCAATGTCCCCCCCTCCGCGTGACCCGGTGCCACCGCTCTGTCCCCAGCGCGTCCCCGGAGGTGACAGGAGGCGCCGAGCGCAGCCGTGAGTGGGGACACGGGGACACGCTGCCACCCCACGGTGTCCCCACGGTGTCCCCACGGTGTCCCCTCGTCACAGCGGTGGCCCCGGCGCGGGTGACACGGCACAGAGCGGCAGCGGAGGAGGTGACGCCGGACGAGGTGACACGGGACACGGCCACAAGGGACAACGTGACGCGGCACACGGTGACGCGGGACACGGTGACGCGGGACACGGTGGCGAAGGACAAGGTGACAAGGCACAAGGGGAGCCAGCGCTGGGTGGGGACAAGGAGGAGGACAAGGGACGTGGCAGGAGGTGACACGCGGGGACAGGGGCCTGGGGTGGCCGTGGTCCCGGTGTCACCTCTGTCCCCTCCGTCTGTCCAGCCCTTCCCGCACAGGGACCAGCTGCCACCCCCGGACAGAGGTGGGTGTCACTTGTGTCACCTCCCTATGTCACTTGTGTCACCCCCCTGTGTCACCCTGTGTCACCTCCCTGTGTCATCCCCGTGTCACTTGTGTCACCTCCCTATGTCACTTGTGTCACCCCCCTGTGTCACCTCCCTGTGTCACCCCATGTCACTTGTGTCACCCCCCTGTGTCACCCCGTGTCACCTATGTCACTTCTATCACCCCATGTCACTTGTGTCACCTTCCTATGTCACTCGCGTCACTCGTGTCACTTGTGTCACCCCCCCGTGTCCTCCCAGTGCCACCATGATGTCACCCCCCCATGTAACCCCTGGTGTCCCCCAGGTGCCACCACCATGTGACACCCTGGTGACGCCGCGTTCCCCCCCCATTGTCCCCTCTGTGCCACCCCCAGGTGCCCCCGTGTGCCCCCCCCAACAAGTGCCACCCGCGGGGACGTCGCCGATGTCCCCAGGGGCGCTGGGGACGCTCGTGCGGGAGCTGCAGGCCCTGGGCGCTGCCATCCTTGGGGACGGGGACGTCCCCATGTCCCCCCCCCCGCCCTGAGCCCGCGGGGGCCCCGGCGTCCGGGTGAGTCACGGCGGGGACCTGGGGACACCCCTGTCACCTGGGGGGTGGGGGGGGGTCACACTGTGGCCTCCCGGTGCCACCTGAACCTCCGGGTCACCTTGGGGACCCTGTCACCCCCCGGTGCCACCAGTCCCGTGTCCCCCCGTGTCACCTTGGGGTCCCCTTGTGCCACCTTGGGGACCCTGTGGCCTCCCAGTGTCACCAGTCCCGTGTCCCCCCGTGTCACCTTGGGGACCCTCTGTCACCTTGGGGACCCTGTCACCTCCCGGTGCCACCTGTCCTGTGTCCCCCCGTGTCACCTTGGGGTCCCCTTGTGCCACCTTGGGGACCCTGTGACCTCCCAGTGTCACCAGTCCCGTGTCCCCCCGTGTCACCTTGGGGACCCTCTGTCACCTTGGGGTCCCCTTGTGCCACCTTGGGGACCCTGTGGCCTCCCTGTCCCCCCCCCAGGGCCACCTGTCCCATGTCCCCATGTGTCACCTTGGTGGGGGGGGTCTCCCTGTCCCCTCCCCCCCTGATTTTGACACTTTTTGGCTTTTTTTTTTCCAGTTTTGCCGACTTTTCACCCCATTTTCACTGCAGTTAAAAATCGTAATAAAGACACAAAAAGAGCAAAAATCCCAAGAAAATGACCCAGACTGGGGCCACCGCCAGCAGCGCCCCCGGCGTCACCTGCGTCCCCAGTGACGCCATCTCTGCGTCACTGCGTCACCCTGTGCGTGTCACCCCCGCCCCGCGATGTCCCCAAATGTCCCCGGTGGCGTCACTCGTGTCCCCAAGGCTGCTGATGTCCCCACGGCCACCACGGGTGTCCCCAGCGTCCCCGCTGGGCTGGTGTCACCGCCGGGTGCTGGTGGCCCCAGCGTCGTGGTGTCACCGCTGTCCCCGATGTCACCGCTGCCCCGGTGTCCCCCCCAGTGTCCCTCAGTGCTGGTGGCCCCGTGGTCTGGGTGACACGGGGGTCCCCCGTGTCCCCGTTGTCACCGCAGCGACGGTGGCACCTCCTGCAGGGCGGAGGGGAGGAGGCCCAGAATTGGCTCAAATCCACCCAAAATGGGCTAGAAATTACCCAAATTGTGACAATTTGCCCCAAAAGCGGCTCAGATTTCCTCCTCCCCCATCCCCGGCGCCAACCAAGAGCTCCAAGACCCAACGTCCAACCCCAAGGCCCAAGACCCAACCTCAACACCCAACCTCAGCACCCATCAACACCCAACCCAACCTCCAAGACCCAACATCCAACCCCGAGGCCCAACCTCTGACCTAAAGACCAAGGTCCAGCCCCAAGACCTCTTAAAGCCTCAGACCCAACCTAAGACCCAACATCCAACCCCAAGATTCAACCTCAAGGCCCAACCCCAAGACCCCGCACACCCACAATCCAACCGCACGACCCCAACCTTCAACCCCAATAGTCAAGACCCAACAACCAACCCCAAGACCCGACCCTAAGACCCGACCCAAGGACCAAAATCCAACGCAAGATCCCAAGACCAACCTCAAGACCCCAGTGCTCAACCTCAAGACCCCAGACTCAACCCCAGAAACTCAACCTCAACACTCAAGATCCAACCCCAGACCCAATATCCAACTCAAAGACCTAATGCCCAGCCCCAAGACCCAACCTAAAGACTCAACGYCCCAAACCCAATATCCTACTCAAAGATCTAATGCCCAATCCCAAGACTCAACTCCAAGCGCCAACGTCAAGACTCAACCTCAAGTCCCAACTCCAAGACTCAAGGCACCCAAGATCCATCCTCAAGACCCCAGCCCTCAACCCCAATACTCAAGACTCAACAACCAATCCCAAGACCCAACGTAAAGAGCCAAGACCCAACCCAAAGACCATGATCCAACCCAAAGATCCAACCCCAAGACCCAACATCAAGACCCAACCCAAAGACCACGATCCAACATCAAGACCCAACCCAAAGACCACGATCCAACCCAAAGACACAACCTGAAGACCAAGATCCAACCCAAAGACCCAACCTGAAGACCCAAGACCCAACCCAAAGACCACGATCCAACCCAAAGACCCAACCTGAAGACCCAAGACCCAACCCTAAGACCACAATCCAACCCAAAGATCCAACCCCAAGACCCAACATCAAGACCCAACCCAAAGAGCAAGACCCAACCGAAGACCCAACCTGAAGACTCAAGCCCCACCCCCAAAGCCTGAGCTGCCCCATCCTCACCCTCCCA